AGACAGCACACCTAGAGCAGGTAGATAATAGCAGAGACCTTACCTTAAGGGCTAGGGACCTATGCAAATAATGTTTTGTTTTTGTTTTTGTTTTTGTTTTTGTTTTTCGAGACAGGGTTTCACTGTGGCTTTGGAGCCTGTCCTGGAACTAGCTCTGTAGACCAGGCTGGTCTCAAACTCACAGAGATCCGCCTGCCTCTGCCTCCCGAGTGCTGGGATTAAAGGCGTGTGCCACCATCGCCCGGCACAAATAATGGGGTTTAACATCTCTGAGACACTATATGAACTGTAAATCTGTTAGCCCAACTAAGCTTTACAACAATCCTGCCCAGTAGGTATGATTAGTTCTAGTTTGGATCTTTAAAACTGACTTAAAATTTCAAACTGATTTACAGATGCCGAACCTTATAAAACAGATTATATCCTGTGTAAAGGCAAGATGTCATGTGTGCTTTAGCAACCATTAATTTGATTTTCACATCCCCACACCTCCTAAATTCTTCCTTGGTGCGCCTGATGTAGGATAAAATCAAAGCTCCAAAGCATGGTTTCTGTAGGCCCGGTCTTCATCTCTAGCCTCAACGTGACCATTTCTAATATCTGCTGAGAACTGGGGTTAAGTGACTCCTAAAATACTTCACTCAAAGCATAGACCACTATAGGGAGTAAATGGCCTCTTTATCCTTTACCTTGAACTTTAAATTTTAGGTGGGCAGTGATCTATTATTCACTAGACACACTAGCATCTCACAGTTAACACTTGCTCACAATCACGGACTTTCCAATTGCAAGCCTGTAGGGGGCACAGGTGTCTTTGTCACAGATGTCACACAGACACTCACTAAGCAAACCTGGTGTGCTAAACACCCAGGGTTGTTCCTTCAAAGGAAGGAATACAAAACCCGTGTTCTGCCCAGAAGGCTAGGGAGGATGTGCTTTCTGGCCTGGTGACCTTTGCACCATTGTGTGGCAGGAGATTTCCCAGCACCAAATTCTCCCTCACACCTTTATCATTTTTTCTCAGTCAGTTTGTCTTTACAGACTTTTCAGAGTGCCAGTGTAGTCATGCCTGGTGTGTATTAACATACTGTGGTCTCCAGAGAGATGTATGTATGCTTTGTGGTGGTCATGGAATTGACTTGATTATCACCAGAATAATCTGCACCAAATTTTGCTGTGATTAAATAATGTAAATCTGTAGGCATCTCTTTATTGTACCTGTGAAGTAAATGATATATATCTTGATTGCTATGAATTTCGAATTAATTATATAAGTCATTTAACACTGTTGTTTTCACAAAATTCCCTCTGTCCCATGTGCACGCGAGTTTCCCCGTATCCCAGTCACCCTCCATCCCTTCAAGACTTCAAGTTTCTATTTTATCTGTCTTTCTTGTTCTTGGTTAGTTTTTTCCTTTTTTTTTTTTTAAATGTTTACAGTTCTGACTTGTATATTCTTCATTGCCCTTTTCCAGAAAGAATTCCATTCGCAAAGCATTATCTGAATAAAGTTGATATAAAAATCATTTCCCTTCCACAGAATTGTTTAATTTAGGTATGCAGGCTGCAAATAATGAAGTCAGATTTAAAAAAGTACAGTAGATGCTAATTCATAATAGCTATCAACAGACTTTGATAAATATTGATTCAGTGAGCAACTCTGTTTTCTGGATTTGCTCATTTAGCCTGTGAGATGCTTCTGTTAACAACGGAGACACTCTGTGCTGTAAACAAATTTCATAATGTGTTTTCTTATTATCTTTGTGTAGGAAACAACCTACTGCATAAAACAACATTTGTAGCGATGAACACTTCTGTTTTCTTAGAATAGCAATTCTGTCATTTGTAGCTGACAGCAGTGCTCAGTAATGTAGCCCCTTGGATCCAAGTTATTCTTATGTTAAGTAAAAGGGGCAATATTTATACTTATCAAAAAAAATGTTTACTATTGAGTTTAAATTAAACAAATAGAAGCAAAAACAGATAGTATAAATCTCCAGTTGGTTGGTTGTGTACATGAAAAAAAAACAAAAGTTCTACTTCCAAATAGACATTGATATCTCCTTTTAAGTTTTATTTGCATAAACCTTGTTCAATTTTTATAATTAATAAATATTGATATATAATAACTAAAAGTATACTTAAAATAAACTATTTGGGACAGACTTCGAAAGTTTGAACCAACACTGTCTGCTGAGTTGCGTTGAGCTGAACTGCCTTCTTGCATCCTAGGACTTATCACTCTATAGGCCGTGAAGGCCTCAGAGACCCCCCACATAAGCCCACATGCATAATAAGCCAAACTAATCTTCTAGTGGAAGGTGAAGCCAGGACAACAAGCCAGATCTACCCAAGCAAGACTCAGTAGGCAATGCAACCTTCTCCCATTGCCGTGGAAACAGACAGGATCAATATGGGAGCCATTTAAATTTTGAGCATTAGAATGCTATCAAGCCGGAAAATTACATCAAAAACTTCAATAGCTACCAAATATGCAAACCATCCTCTCCCACTCTTTCCTCAAAATAAATAAATAAAAACACTAGCAAATATCACTTCTCTTAAAAATGAGCAACATAAGGTTGGGGAGATGGCTCAATGAATAAAGCACTATGAATAAAGTATAGGAGGCCAGGTCCCCAGAACCACATAAAAGGCAGGAAGCCTCAGCCTATAACCACAGAGGATCCCAGGGCAAGTTGACTATTAGACCAGTAGACAGTAGAATTACTGAATGTAGGTTCAGGGTTAGGTTCTTCTTCCATAAATATTGTAGAACAATTGAGAAAAACACATGACTTCAACTTCAGGCTGCCCACATACATGCATACATATACCAGTGTACTCATGTATGTACATACGCACATGTCACACACACATATAAATGCAAAAATTGATCAATATGACAAAACTGAAATCATTTTCAATAGGAGTTGATAATAACAAAGCCATATGGAATGAAGAAAAATATTATGTGTTTACAGATGACAAGAATACACAGAAGAAGCAAGATTTACAAAACAAACTAGATGGACAATATAACATTGTTATTTTACTTATTGTTGATGTTGTTAGTCTTTTGACAATATTGGGGATAGAAACCAGGACCTCGTGCATGCTAGATATGCACTGAACCCCTGAACTACACCCTAGATCCTAGTTACTAAAGGAACTGAATGAAAACCATAAAAGAAAAAGAAATTTGACTCACAACAATTCGTATATTTTGTGATTATCAAACAAAACAAGTTTTAAATAGAAATGAAAGATCTAAAATTAGGAATAAGATGGGCAGTGGCGGCATACACCTTTAATACCAAGACTTGGGAGGCAGAGGCAGGCAGATCTCTGTGAGTTTGGGGTCAGCCGGGTCTATAAGAGCTAGTTCCAGGACAGGCTCCAAAGCTACAGAGAAACCCTGTCTTAAATGAATAAATAAATAAATAAAATCAGGAAGGAAAGAAAGATCCATTTTGGAAATCAGACTAACTTAGTAGGAAAACATAAAAGAATAAAGACTTTATTTTTTAAATAGAAGATACAAATAAAATTAGCACAAAACTGCAGAAGAATGAACAGAGAAAACAGCACACAAATGAGAGCCCCAAAAGGAGCAAAACAGTAGAAAAGGAATTTAAAGTGTAATTTTAGAGAATTCTCTCCAAGAAAGTAAAACCCAAGAGCATACGGAAATAAAATCCTTGAGAAAACTTACTCATAAAGACACATCTTCCCCTCACTGCTAGACTTAAAAAATACAAATCCTAGGTCAGTAGTAGAAGACTTGCCTGGTTGTATGTAAAGCTCTGCTTTCAATCCACAGCAACATCACACACAGAGGCACAGACATATGACAAAGACACACACACACACACACACACACACACAATTCTTTGATCATCCAACACAAAACAGTAAGGTGTTAATATTTTCTAGCATCTGTATCTAAGAGAATATTTGGTATTTCTGATCCTGGCTTATTTCTTGATATAATGTCCTTCAGTTCCATTAATTTTTGTGCAAATGACAAGGCTTCATTCCTCTCTATGACTAAATAATATTCCATTGTGTGTTGGCATCACCCATTTATCTGTTGATGAACACTCAAATCAGTGTCATATCTTAACCAATATGAATGTCACTGTGATAAATGGGCATATGCAGGCTTGTGTTTGGTATCCTGACCATCTTTCCTCTGGATATAAATGTAAGTCCAGAGTGGATTGCAATAGGGTTCTGATGTGAGGCACCTTTATGCAGGATTATGTCTCCTTCCCGACACAGCACACACCCACACCCACATCACCCAAAAACCATTTCCCTAGCCACCCATACAGCAGTGGGAGAGGAAACTCTCTCTAATCTAGGGTGACCCTAGACTGGCCAAAGCTTATCATGGATCTCCAGGACAACCCCCCATTATTTGTTTAAGGGTCCAAGCATCACCAGTGAGTAGTGAGATGATGTCAGTTGAGTCTCTTGAAAAGTTTTATTTTTACTACTTTTTAAAGTATTATCAAAATTGACCACACCAAGAAAGGCAGAATAAGATGAGGGAGGAAGCCTGTCTTTATGGCTCTGTGAAGAGGCTGAGTCAACAGATGATTTGATATTTGCAGCAGAAGTGTCTGCAGCCTTTTGTTCATAGTGCTGCAATGATATTTCTCATGCCTCTTTTTCTAAGACTAGAGATGCCTGGCTAGGTAGAGCAACACATGTCTAATCCTAGCACTTGGGAGACAAAGGAAAACGAGCCCGGGTTTGGGGCCAGCCTTAGTGATATAGTGAGACCCTGCCTTGGGAACAGTAATACATCATCAAGCAAAGAGAAAAAGAAACTGAGGACATTGGTCATCTTTGCAGAATCCCCTGGGGATTATGGTTCCGTTCATTACTCAGCTGACCTTCAGTAATATTGATGGATTTTTTTTTTTTTTTTTTTTTTTTTTTTTTTTTAAGATTGAGAGAAGTGGAGTTCTCCCGCAGCCGCAGCAGCACCCTGATGATCATGTCCACTGCCTTGGCAACTCGTAAGCGGGCAAAGCCGGCCCCCGGACCCGGGGCCGCTGCGGGGGCCGGCAAGCGGCGGCGAAAGGTCGACTCTGCTGGGGACAGAGGCAAATCCAAGGGTGGCGGCAAGATGAATGAAGAAATTTCCAGTGATTCTGAGACTGAGAGTTTGGCTCCAAGGAAAACAGAGGAAGAGGAGGAGCTAGAGGAGACTGCGCAGGAGAAGAAGCTACGTTTGGCCAAACTCTACCTTGAGCAGCTTAGGCAGCAAGAGGAGGAGAAGGCTGAAGCTCGTGAATTTGAAGAGGATCAGGTGGCGGGACGCTTAAAAGAAGACGTGCTTGAGCAGAGAGGCAGGTTACAGAAGTCGGTGGCAAAGGAGATCCAGGCCCCGGCTCCCACTGACATTCGAGTTTTACGGGGCCACCAGCTCTCCATCACGTGCTTGGTTATCACCCCTGATGACCTGGCCATCTTCTCCGCCGCCAAAGACTGCACCATCATTAAGTGGAGTGTAGAGACTGGGCGGAAACTGCATGTAATTCCTCGAGCCAAGAAGGGTACCCAGGGGCAGCCTTCAGGCCACAGCAGCCACATCCTCTGCATGGCCATCTCCTCTGATGGCAAGTACCTTGCCTCTGGTGACAGAAGCAAACTCATTCTAATTTGGGAGGCCCAGAGCTGCCAGCACCTGTACACCTTCACGGGACACCGGGATGCTGTGTCGGGACTGGCCTTCCGAAGAGGTACCCACCAGCTCTACAGCACTTCCCACGACCGCTCAGTGAAGGTGTGGAACACAGCCAGCTGAGAACTCCTATGTGGAGACCCTCTTTGGGCACCAGGATGCTGTGGCCGCATTGGATGCCCTGAGCCGAGAGTGCTGTGTGACAGCCGGTGGCCGGGATGGGACTGTGCGTGTGTGGAAGATCCCAGAGGAATCCCAGCTTGTCTTCTATGGCCACCAGGGCTCCATTGACTGTATCCATCTGATCAATGAGGAGCACATGGTGTCCGGTGCAGATGATGGCTCCGTGGCCTTGTGGGGCCTCTCCAAGAAACGGCTGCTTGCCCTCCAGCGGGAAGCTCACGGACTGCATGGGGAGCCAGGCCTGGAGCAGCCCTACTGGGTGTCATCGGTGGCAGCCCTGCTTAATACAGACCTTGTGGCCACAGGCTCCCACAATGCCTGTGTGCGGCTTTGGCAGTGTGGAGAGGGCTTCCGACAGCTTGACCCTCTTTGTGACATCCCCCTGGTTGGTTTTACCAACAGCCTCAAGTTCTCCAGTTCTGGGGACTTCTTGGTGGCTGGAGTGGGCCAGGAGCACAGGCTTGGCCGGTGGTGGAGGACCAAAGAGGCTCGGAATTCAGTCTGCATCATCCCTCTGCGCAGAGTCCCTGCGGCCCCTCTTGCTGGCTCCTGACACTCGTTCTTATTTAAGTGCTTTCTAGACCCTGCCCCCCTTTTTGTATTAAAAAGGTCCTATTTAAAAAAAAAAATTGAGAGAAGTATGATTTCAAAATATTCAGCATAGGACTGGAGATGAGGATCAGTGGTCGAGCGTTTGTCTATCGTATGTAAGGTCCTAAGTTCAATCTTGAGTGCTGCCAAAAATAATAATAAACAGAGCTAGCCAGCTAGATGATTGATAGATACATAAATACTCATAGTCACAAACACCAAAAAGAAAAGAATGTTGGACTTTAAATTGGTAAGTTGAGGTCAATGAGTCAAATTGGGGTTCAGTCTTAGTTCTCTGAAGCAAGCCTCAAGGATCTATCTATCAGCTTCCCAGTTCTGCATCAGTTGGGGCTGGGGCTTTAATGGGGAGAATGACAATATGATTACATCTGTCTCTGATCGCGAACTTCCTAAGGTGGATGGTATGAGACCCAGGGAGCCAATATCTCAGCGGAGACCCACATCCTGGCCCTCCTCGGTCTTAAGGAATTTGCAGTTCTAGGGACAATAAAAATGCCAGTTTTGAGTGCCCCTGGTCCCTGAAGAGTTGATTATTTGTTCTGAAGGTAAAACTTCTTTTCAGATTTAAAGGTTTTAAACTTATGACATCTTGCCTCACGTAGTCTCTCTGGAAAGGGAGACGGTATATTTGAGAGTGGAAAAGACAGTTACTCTGCCAAAGCTGTCTTGCACTAATGCTGAAGAGCTGGGCAAAGTCACCACATTTTCCACCTCCTCAAATATCCTAGAAACTGCTCTACACCAGTTTCACCATGGTAAAATCCTGTTCTACACAACTCAGACATGCATCTGTAAAGAGAAATCCTTAGAAATAAGAATAATAAAAATAATGCTGCCTAATTGTTTGCAGTTTAGGAAGGATTTCCATACACATGCCTTTCCCTTGATTCTGACAAATCCTCCTGGCACGGACCTGGTTTTCAACATTCGCCAAGAATAACCAATAGTAAATCTACTTAGAAAGATGCAGAAATCGAGTATGTTTCTCTCTATACTGAGCACAGAACCTAAGCACTCATGATTGTACTCATCACTTTAACTCTGGCTTAAGGTGCTCAGAAGACCCCTTATAGCTTAGGGGAGCCGTCACTCCCAACAATGTGAAGTTCTGTGAGTGAACAACCAGTGGAAGGCAAAAAAGACCCTCTGTGCTACTAGAGGTGGAGCTGTTGAAGAAGTAGGAGAAGGTGTCAAGTCCGGATTAAACAGGATCAAGTGGGATACACAAATGAGACAAAGATTGCAAAATACTAACATTTTGTTAAAAAGTTAACTGGTAGGAAAATATTAAGATCTTATTTGCTGATGAATGCATAGAACAGAAAGCTGTGTGCTTAGGTAGAGAGTGCTCCAGACACAGGTATGGGAATCTTTCTCTTACCTCCAGCAAAAGGAGCAGGCAGTTTTCTGCAGACATGACACACACACACATAATATGACTTTAAAGCATGCACACGGCCAGGAGAATATGACTCAAGACAAAAATTTTCAATCAGAGAGCTATAAAAAAGATGCCGTATGATACATAGCATAGTATTTCAAAATGATTTTAAAATAGCACATTGCATATAAAATTTTCAAAACCTTTCATTCACATTTGAAAAGCATATTAGAGAATCCAAAACTCAACAGGGACATCCTACCCTAAAAATGTAGTGACTTAAACCTTTTAGAAGTCTCAGCAGAACCCATGTATACTTGAGAACAGTGTGTTATTTGTAGAAGGCTGTCACAATAAGACCCTTGTTCTATCCCAGCAGCTAACAAAATCCCCCAGCCTAAAAGAATTACTTTTAAATTCAAATTTCCTTCCACTTTCAAATGCAGGTTTTAAGAAAACCAGAATCAGAGAATTGTCTGCCATCCTTCTCCCTATGAACCAAAGGCAATACAAATTAGATTCAAGAGAAGACATGCGGCAAGCGTTATAATCCAGACTTACTGTGAAGGAAGTTTTAATCCAATTGGCCCTCAAAAAATAATGAGAATTAACAGCTCTAATTTTCCCCTAAGTCAACCTAATTCAGGATAATCTGCTTAAACATTCCAGAAAATGGTGTTACTTATTTGTTTCCCACTTAGCAGTGTTCTGTGCTGCCTGTACTTGGGTGAATATCGCATTAATAAGGAACTCTAAACTGTGAGGTGCTGTTGTATACCAGACGCTTGCAGATTTAATGACACAACATTCTACACCAGTGATGTAGTGGAAAGGTATTAAACAAATACACATCTTAAAACGATGTGATTCAGAAACTCAATGCACATATATTTGTATATATTTTGTGTATGCACATTTGTATGTATTTAAAGTTATTATATACTTAAAATTTAAAACAAATAAACAAACACATGTATTTTATAACACAGATTTCGAAAGGAAAGTGAATTTCTGTTTAGGTTCAGACACTTCTAAACCCTAAGTTTCATGAACCAGACTAAGAACACTTAAAATATTAATCACAAAAGGAAGAATTGCTCCCATGAAATACTAAGTCCCCCAAACAGGGAGCCCTCGTTTTACAGAGATTGTTTTCTAAGCTGTAGTTCTTGTGTCCCATTTTCTATACCTATGTGGTCCACATACCCATTTAGCACTAAAGAGTCTATTAAACTCATGCCACATGGAAAACACATTGACTATATCAAAGCTTCATCTGTGTGAATGCTTTCCCAATGTATGAAAACAGCTGTCCCATCTGCCTTGTATTCATATATCTTTAACCATTTTCCATATTAAATGGTTTTCATAGGTCTCCTCTCTCGATTATCGACATTCCTCTTAAAACACACCCAGAATTTAACATGGATTCCCAGATGTGGTCCAGTCAGAAGAGTGTGCTGGGATTCTTATCTTCTGTGATCTAGACATGGGACTTCTGCTGTGAACCGAGTAACTGTACAAGCAATTTCAGCAGTCAGGTTGCTGTGTTTGTGTTTAATTTTGAAGCCAGCTGAAATCTGTCCTTGCCTTTCATAAATTACCACATATCCACAACACCCTTATCTTGCACTTAAGGGATTTTAAATACCCTTTATGGCATTAATTAAATTGACTAGTTTCCATATAATTGATACAAGCTTTTAGATGTAGATTTCACCTGGTAGAATTTATTTTTGTATAGACCTTGGAAAAACTAAGAGAGGTGGTTGAATCTTTTAATGTAAGCAATGCATTTGATGATTCTTGTTTTAGAAAAATCCTTGGAGAGGCAAAAATGTAGTTGATATTTTTTTTTAACAAAACAAACCTGGGTTTTGAGCTTTATTGCATATTAGCACTACTCTGGGAACTCTTAAAATTTCCTCAGCTCAATATTATGATTTGGGTTCTAAAATTCATCTGAAATTTGATCACCAACGTGATAGTAGTAAGAGCATGTTTAGGGGTGATTATGTAGTGAGGGCAGAGCTCTACTGAATGGGGTGCAGTCCTGCTACAAAGGCCTTCTTGCCCTTCTGCCTTTGGCCATGTGTACCATCTCAGAAACAGAGAGAAACCCTCAACAGACATGGTGTCAATGCCTTGATCTTGACTACCCTGTACCATAGAAAACAATTTTTTTATTGTTTTAATTTCTGTGAGGTAAGTTCAGCAGCAGAAATAGACCAAGATATCCAAGCTGTATCCAAAACCAATTTGATCAAAATGCATGGGCATGGGAGCTGGCAACATAAGAATACAGGTCATTCTGATGTTTGCACACACTGGGTTGAATATTTGAGATACATTTTAGGTCCATGATCATTAACGGCATGACACTGAGCAAATTACTTCTCCTCTCTAAACTTTAATGTCTTTATCCAGAAAGTTGAAGGTTGTTAAAGGGTGTGTGTGTGTGTGTGTGTGTGTGTGTGTGTATGTGTGAATGTGTGTGTAAAAAGAGAAAGAGAATAAGGAAGATAATATATCAAGGTACCTAATATATGGTAATAATTTTTGAGTTATTTTGGTGTTATTTTGAAAATATGTTTGTTACCAATGGTTTATATGATCAAAATGTTAGTCTAATAAAATAAACTTGAAGCTACCACTCTTCTAACTGTAGGAGCAGGGCCTGTTTCTAACTGTCCCTAACTGTGGGAGCAGGGCCTGTCTCTGTTGTTTGCTTTTGGAATTCATACCTCCTACTGGATTGCTGCAACCAACTTTAATAGAAGAGGCGGTGCCTAGTCTCATCTCAACTTGATAACACCATGACTGACTTGAATATCCATGGGGAGGCCCCCCTTTTTTTGAAGAGAAAATAAAGGAATGGATGGAGGTGGGAAGGTAGGAGGAGGGAAGAGAAAAGAGGAAACTTATTGAATTGTATTTATTTACTCTTATAAATGTGTTCAAAGTAATAACTCAAATGGCAGCATGCCTTTTACTACATATTTAGAGCTGGTTTAAAATCTGCAAACGAAGCGACAAACACCTCTAACAGTTATTAGGTAATAATTTTGCATATCCTTATATAATTGAAACCGTTTTTTATTTGTATAATCCTGGGCAAATCAAAGATCTCAGGAATATCTGATACTATGTTTTGTATTGTGAGATTCAAAACTAACTATTCCTCAGTCCTTGTTTTGAACAAAATAATCTCAAGTAATTTAAAAACTCAAGTATCCAACTCTCAATATCAATGTTAGAGATTTATTAATTTTAAATCTGTGAAGGCTAATTAATGTGTGATGGTGATTATGGATCAAAGTGTGCTGTTACTGCTTCCAATGTTGCAACATCTGGGTCAAAATGATGATCTCAATTGCCTCTGTTTAGTTGAAGAACAAATACACAAGACACATGCCTGGAAGGCTACCATAAGGCCCTCCAAACATGGGAGCCCACAGCAAGATCACCAGAAAAAAAGTGAGCAAAAGCTGATGTGTGAAAACACAATGGCAATTTTATCAAAAGCTGTCTACACATTCAATGCAATCCCCCAACAAAATCCCAGGAC